AAATCACAATTAATTCACACAAAACACTTGCATTTTGTGACAAAAAACACTGCATTTTGTCTAAACTTTGACACAAATCACGAATTTCACACAATCTACTTAATTCACTTTTCATATCTATCAATATTTCTCAGTTTATTGAATAGTAAACACAATTACTTTTAAAAATAAAAGCCGGACTGTTAAGTTGTAAGATATAACTTAAAATAAATGCGTGAATAACTTAAAGTAAACTTTATATAGAAATCTAATTTCCTTTCAAAATAAATGCTTTTATCTGTGATATAGACTAATCTCTAAATCATCTCCAGATGTGTCCATGTTTTCAACGGTCCACCCATTTATGACTTCCTATTTTTGAGATAAATACCATATTTTCTTCATTTAATACTTGATTATATATATTATATTTATTTTTATATTTTCATTTAGCAAACTAAATATGTAGTCTTATAAATATACACATATATTAATTTATTAATTTTAACTCAACATAACTAATGCTTAACTTTATGAATATTTTTTAATTTAATATAATTTTACTCTAACATATTGTACGATAACAAATTAATTTAATTAAGCGTAGAATATTTTATAGTTAATTAGCATGGCAATATTTTTTGCGAACATATAAATGTGCATAATTAACAAACAAATTTTGTTTATAAATCATCATGTTCATTATATTATATTAGAAATTGTACTGACACTCGAGGTCAACTAAATCGGCACTTAATTGCCATAAATCACGGGTAGTTTTATCATTAAATGCCTGACCAGTCATACAGTCCACGCGCCCGCAGTTACTATAAATACAAATAAATATCAATTTAGCTTGATCATCGTAAAAATAGTAAATGACCCTCTAATTAAATTCTAATTCTACAAATTTCTTACTCATAAAAGTGACCAGACTCATTTGCGAGCTCATCATCCAGGGCACAGTGTAAGTAGGGTTGCGGCCCCATATCAGCCGGCAACATAAACAAGGTCTTAAAACATCTGAACAGTATATTGGCAGATATATCAGAATCTGCCCCTGGTCTACTATCTATAATTCCCGGGTTAATTGAGTACGTTTTGACATTGCTGATTCCGGAAGATTTTAATCGCTTAGCTAGCTCTTTGGCAAATAACACCATGGCCAGTTTAGTATGAATGTGCGCCCGGGCTGCAGTGTAACCATTGTTTGGCAAATGAAAATTGCGTAAATTAAGCCTACTGAAATATAATGGGATTCCGTTTGTTGTGCCCATTATTATCCGGGAATCGTTTGATTTTCTCATTAATGGCAATAAGTGTAGTGTTAGTAGAAAATGGCCTAAAATACTGTCAAAAATACTGTACAAACAAATATAATAAATATGATTTCATTAAATTAAAATGTTCAATACGCTATTAATTAAGCTTATAAAAATATGTAACCTAACTTTTATATATTGAACTATGATAAAATAAAATGTTAACTAATTATTAGCTTAAAAATATAAAATCTTTTATGAAATTATTAAACTAATTAATTATAATATTTTGATACAATATTTAATATTATTAATGCTCGGAGTACTATTAATATTTATAAATATAAATCTAATTAAGTTATTCAAGTAAACAATTAAATAAACTATTAATTGTCAAATTAATATAAAAAATTCATATAAATATCACAAACTATTAAAACCTTATATAAACTTCAAATAAAACTTCTCAAAACTAGTAAATAAAATACGCGACAATAGGTGTCTTTACACACGCCCTACCCATACAATACCTAAATAGTTAGTCCGGAACTGAGTGTAGGGGTCGGCGTAGGGCCGGGCGGCCCCGTTATTGATGAGTACGTCGACTATGGGTTTGATTTCTGCCACCCGTTTGGCAAACTCGCGGACGGACTCGAGTGACGCCAAGTCCAGCGCCAGTGCCGTCACATCCGTCCCGGGGTTACGGCGTTTCAGTTCACTCACCGCCCGCTCGTTAGTCACGGTATTCCGGGAACCGATGATTATTTTCTTGAGTATAATAAGTATTTAAAACTTTTTCAATTAATCTCCTTTTAATAGTGTTTAACTTAATTATTTAGATCTCTCTCTCTCTCTCTCTCTCTCTCTCTCTCTACAAACTGTAAATAAGAAACTATTAATATGTTTATGCATTAAATAATAAAAAATATTTCTATTATAACGGCGTAATAATAGGATGCATCATAATGCTATATAAAAATATTTTAAAACCCGTATCTTGATACTTTTTTTTAAATAAATACTTTATATATTTTTACTTTTAATATACCGTGACAAGATTATAGTTTGTAAAATTAAGATAAATATTTTATGCCTACCTTTGGGCCCCTCAGTGACAGTTGATACGCCGTCTCTTTGCCAATACCTCCATTACCACCGGTTATGACAACTACCCGGCCGTCCAGACGCTGATTACCGGTAAACCTTTTGCGGCACTTGAATACAGTGGCCGGTAATTCAACCACCAGTGCTAATACACGTATAATATTACCCATAATTTTATCCTAAACAAAATGACCACAACAAACATTAAATGAGTACACTTTTATTGATCATACTAATGATTATTAAACAATAATTTTTTACAATAAATGTGTTTATAAAATATTAATACATTACTAACTTGATTATTAATATTATTTACTATTATTAACAAAAGTATTTATGATGTAATCTATAATATATTACATATTATTAAAATAGTTAAAAATGCTTTAGTCTCAGGTACATTTGTTGATTAAAATGTAGCATGTGACATATAAGTCTGGTTAAAAATATTATAAACTTTCATAAATAATACATATCGTGAACACATAGTACTGTACATGTAATGGCAGTTATAGATAAATATCGAGACCTTCAATGGGAATAGCATTGAGCAATTACAAACCTGATTATACATGGTCATAATTTTATATGTTTTAATTATATGCATTTCTGTGAATAGTATCTACATTTTCATTTAAAAGCATTTTAGATTTAATACAATACCTTAAATGCAAGAATATGTTTCATTAAACAAAGTGTTAGATAAGATTTATTATGAAAAGATTTTCAAAAAATTATTATTATTTTCATTCAAATGAACACTAATTTTATGAAGATTTAAATGTGATTTTGTTGTAAACTGTTTGTGACATTCACTCCAATCGCATACATATCTCACGTTTAAATGAACACTATTTTGATATTAAATGAAGTTTCTTATGACGAAATAAATTTGAATTTTGTGCAAACATTTTGTCACAACCATTGAAATTGCAAACAAATAGCTTTTCGCCCGAATGTATAGACTGTATGTGTCGAATAAGCCCTCTCATTCGGTAAAAAACCTTGCTACAATTGTTTGCATTGCATATAAATTGCATATTATTCACATGAACATGGCGCGTGTGCTGGTTTAATTCAGTCTTTGTTGCGTAACATTTGCCACAATCAGTATAATTGCATTTATGGGGTCTTAGATTTAGGTGAATTCTTTTAATGTGTTTATTTAAATTATACTTTAGTTTAAACTTTTTGTAGCACTCATTAAAATGACAAACAAATGACTTTTCACCCGAATGTATCACTTTGTGTTTAATTAGGTCTGCTTTTTGAGCAAATCTTTTGTCACAATTTTTTTCATTACATTTTAAATATTTTTCATTCAAATGAACAGCACTTTTATGTCGATTTAAATTGGCGTTTGTTGTAAACTGTTTGCGACATTCACTCCAATCGCATACATATCTCACGTTTGAATGAACACTATTTTTGTGTGAGTTTCGGTCGGAAATTGTTTTGAAATATTTGTTACAGTTATTTAAATCACATTTAAACTTTATATCTGTATGCCTTAATTGATGATTAAATAAATAATGTTTATTTTCAGTCGTAAACCTACATTTAGGCCAAAAACAGCTATAATTGTGATAAGTGTTGAGTGTATGTTGTGATTGGAAAGCATTTTATCACTTATTTTACATGAATTCAAATCAATTGAATTGCAATTCATTGACAAATTCACTGCATTTTCGCATTCAATTCCTTCACACAAAA